ATAAATAAATATAAATAAATATAAATAAATAAATAAATAAATAAAATAAAAGTATTAGGAGATTGTATTATTAATAAAATCTTTAGTTATATGAATAATTTATCTGTGATTTCTTTCTGCTTTCCTTTTCAAAAAAACAAAAACAAAGTAAGAGATAATAAATCTGGACTAATTCTTTTTATTTATTTATTTATTTATTTATTTATATATATTTATTTATTTATTTATCCCAAACACATTGTAGGCTGCTCTTTATTATTTCTTATAAGCTGCTTGTTTCTATTTTAATCAATTCAGAGATATTTATGCATACCATCTAGAAGTCCAGCTTCCTCCATAAAGATGTCCAGTCCATAACAAGTTAAAGTTCAGTCTGTAATCTTCCTCAGCCAACTATCTTGATAATAAAATTAAAGTCTGGAGTTGCCAGTTGTCCTTTCATTTCCTATATAATGCTGAGTTTAATCCTTGGCTTCTTTTTAAGACCCATATACCATTTGGTAGTTGTTTATGACAGTCATTTAATGTCTTGTTTTCAATATTTATTTAAACAATTCCAAAGATTTCAAGAGTGACATCATATGATAACTAAGACAATCACATTTTGGACAAGAAATAATTCTCTCTGGAGTCCTTGGCGCTTTCTGATTTGGCATTTGCTTGAGATGTTTCATTACCAGACTAAGTAACATCATCAAGGCTAGAGAATGTGGGTTTGCTTCCTGTCAATGTATAGTTTGTCCTGCCAGTGAGGGGGGCTTTCTTCTTGATAGTTCCTTGTTTAGACTATTGCTTTCTGCTATGTCTGGTGTTATTCCCTGCTCATCTGGGTGTTGGCTCCTGGAGAGGATGCATTATGGTCTTTGTTTTCTCTTCTTACCTTTTTTATTGTCTCTTTCGTGTGTCAATGTGGTTTGTATCTATGTATTTATTGATGGCTTATTTGTCTGAAAGCCAAACAAAATATTACACTGCATATTCAAAAGATTAATGTGTATTTTTACTGTACAAAATATGGAAACCCTCATGGCTGATGATTCTTACAATACTGTATTGAATGATGAAGTATGCATGCTGTTTTATTTATACTGTGTGGTCATTTCTCACAAGAACTTCCAATTTAATTAAAAGCAATGAAAACATTGTTATACAGTAACAACCTTTCCTTCCAGGCAGATCTTACCTCTAAGACAAGTTGAAGGTCATCCATGTATTTTTCTTCTGTCTGGATCAACTCATGTATATAACCCTGCTTCTTCCTTTCTGTGGGTTGCATTGTGTCAAGGCTCTGGAGATCAGCACACCCTGTAAAATCAAGCATTCTTAATCATTTTTAGCTTATTTGTTCAATGCCAAATAGGTAATGAAAATTCTCTGTACCTCTTTTAATGAATAAAAAAAAAACAAATGACTCTGAAATAGGTGTATAGCACACACACACACACACACACACACACACTTACTTTCTGATGTCTGCATAGTTCTCATCAAGGGTATAATTTCTAGTTCTCATAATTAGAAGTTTTGAGTTTTGCTCAATTTATTTTATTGTCTGCTTCTGAGCTGTTTGTGTTACATCACAATTTTATATTTGTAATATATTCTGCTCTATCCAGCTTTACTGACTTACAAACTGGGCACAAGTGGTGAACGCTCACTTCCCTTGGCCTGCAAAAGGTTTATCCCCCCTCCCCTCCCAAGTTTCTTTCAACTAAGTAAAAGAGCAACTGGAAATCTAACAATAAGAAAGAAGCACCATAATATATATATAACAAAGCCTAGGTAGTTTCAGTCCAGGGATTTGGAAGTGTCTATCTACCTCAAACCAAATAAAATGTAAAAGCTGGACAGAAAATGTTCAGTGGATAAGGGAGGGCGTGGGGAAAAATGTATTGATTTAGATTCTGAAATGTAGGCATTTTGTGGCATGCCCAATATGGCAAGTATTTTGGTAAGATAAACTCTTCCTTTTATAAAAGTACCGTAATCCCAATATATTCTCAAAATGCCAAATATGTAGTTTTTATCTTCTTTTACTAGTACATTAAAAGTATTCATAGATGTTATCCATGAATAATGCAGATAATTATTTACTAAGAAAACCATTTACCAATACTGATGTGTAAGTCAACTGTCCTTAGTGTCCTGCCAACTGGTGAAAAAAATATGATCATTCTTATATATACCCTAAACTGAGAAGGACAATAAAGTTGGCAAGAGAACAGAAATGACTGGTTAGCATGGTATACAGAAAATATTCAAAATAACTCCAAACACTTTACGCCATAAAAAATAAATCATTTAAAGCAAAAAGATTATACTGATAGACAGTTTTATATGAAGTTGCTCTCAGTCCTCCTCTTTTTGTAAACCATTTTCATTTATAAACCAGTTACTGTAAATCATGAACAGTTGTCAGTAGAAATATTTTCTGAGAACGCATATGAATTTATCAGTATTCTTTTTATTGCTCTCCTAGGGAATAAATTAATCCTTGGAGAAAATAAATCCAAATTATAAAGCCCCCCCCCCCCCGACTCCTCATGAGGTTTAAGTTTCCATGAACATTTTGACTGGCAGTTTAAGAACAGACTTCAGTATGCTACTCAAATATAATACACACTCAATTGGCTTTTAATAATTTTAATCCTAAATACTGCTGTTATTCTACTGCTGTGAATTATTGTAGCCCCAACACATAGAAGAAATGAAAACTGTATGTGGAAAAGCATATTTAAATAATGTATCTGAAGAAGTATAAATTGTACATTTGAAAAATCCAAATATTGTTTTAAATTTATAAAATTGTAGAAATTTCTCTCTCTCTCTACACACACACACACACACACACACACACGATTTATGACCATTTTTCAGTTACAACCTTTCATGTAATCAAACTTTGGATGCTTGGCAACTGGTTCAGCTTTATGACAGTTGCAAGTGTCCCGGATTCAAATGATCCCCTTTTGCGACGTTCTGACAAGCAAAGTCAATGAGGAAGCCAGATTCACTTAATAACCAGGTTACTAACTTAATAACTGTAGTGATTCACTTACAAATGTGGCATGAAGAGTCATAAATTGGGGGAAAACTCACTTAACCAATTTCTCACTTAGCAACATAAATTCTGGGCTCAATTGTGGTGGTAAGTTGAGGAAAATACACACGTACACACATGTGTGTGTGTGTAGCTGTGTGTGATTAAAAATACCAGCTTACATGGTTCTCCTCCACTTTTAGATTCACAACAAAGCTATGGGAAATTCAAGTGAGTTAGGGTCACAGTGAGCTTCATGGTAAAGTGTGAATTCAAACCTANTTCTTAATCATTTTTAGCTTATTTGTTCAATGCCAAATAGGTAATGAAAATTCTCTGTACCTCTTTTAATGAATAAAAAAAAAACAAATGACTCTGAAATAGGTGTATAGCACACACACACACACACACACACACACACTTACTTTCTGATGTCTGCATAGTTCTCATCAAGGGTATAATTTCTAGTTCTCATAATTAGAAGTTTTGAGTTTTGCTCAATTTATTTTATTGTCTGCTTCTGAGCTGTTTGTGTTACATCACAATTTTATATTTGTAATATATTCTGCTCTATCCAGCTTTACTGACTTACAAACTGGGCACAAGTGGTGAACGCTCACTTCCCTTGGCCTGCAAAAGGTTTATCCCCCCTCCCCTCCCAAGTTTCTTTCAACTAAGTAAAAGAGCAACTGGAAATCTAACAATAAGAAAGAAGCACCATAATATATATATAACAAAGCCTAGGTAGTTTCAGTCCAGGGATTTGGAAGTGTCTATCTACCTCAAACCAAATAAAATGTAAAAGCTGGACAGAAAATGTTCAGTGGATAAGGGAGGGCGTGGGGAAAAATGTATTGATTTAGATTCTGAAATGTAGGCATTTTGTGGCATGCCCAATATGGCAAGTATTTTGGTAAGATAAACTCTTCCTTTTATAAAAGTACCGTAATCCCAATATATTCTCAAAATGCCAAATATGTAGTTTTTATCTTCTTTTACTAGTACATTAAAAGTATTCATAGATGTTATCCATGAATAATGCAGATAATTATTTACTAAGAAAACCATTTACCAATACTGATGTGTAAGTCAACTGTCCTTAGTGTCCTGCCAACTGGTGAAAAAAATATGATCATTCTTATATATACCCTAAACTGAGAAGGACAATAAAGTTGGCAAGAGAACAGAAATGACTGGTTAGCATGGTATACAGAAAATATTCAAAATAACTCCAAACACTTTACGCCATAAAAAATAAATCATTTAAAGCAAAAAGATTATACTGATAGACAGTTTTATATGAAGTTGCTCTCAGTCCTCCTCTTTTTGTAAACCATTTTCATTTATAAACCAGTTACTGTAAATCATGAACAGTTGTCAGTAGAAATATTTTCTGAGAACGCATATGAATTTATCAGTATTCTTTTTATTGCTCTCCTAGGGAATAAATTAATCCTTGGAGAAAATAAATCCAAATTATAAAGCCCCCCCCCCCCCGACTCCTCATGAGGTTTAAGTTTCCATGAACATTTTGACTGGCAGTTTAAGAACAGACTTCAGTATGCTACTCAAATATAATACACACTCAATTGGCTTTTAATAATTTTAATCCTAAATACTGCTGTTATTCTACTGCTGTGAATTATTGTAGCCCCAACACATAGAAGAAATGAAAACTGTATGTGGAAAAGCATATTTAAATAATGTATCTGAAGAAGTATAAATTGTACATTTGAAAAATCCAAATATTGTTTTAAATTTATAAAATTGTAGAAATTTCTCTCTCTCTCTACACACACACACACACACACACACACACGATTTATGACCATTTTTCAGTTACAACCTTTCATGTAATCAAACTTTGGATGCTTGGCAACTGGTTCAGCTTTATGACAGTTGCAAGTGTCCCGGATTCAAATGATCCCCTTTTGCGACGTTCTGACAAGCAAAGTCAATGAGGAAGCCAGATTCACTTAATAACCAGGTTACTAACTTAATAACTGTAGTGATTCACTTACAAATGTGGCATGAAGAGTCATAAATTGGGGGAAAACTCACTTAACCAATTTCTCACTTAGCAACATAAATTCTGGGCTCAATTGTGGTGGTAAGTTGAGGAAAATACACACGTACACACATGTGTGTGTGTGTATCTGTGTGTGATTAAAAATACCAGCTTACATGGTTCTCCTCCACTTTTAGATTCACAACAAAGCTATGGGAAATTCAAGTGAGTTAGGGTCACAGTGAGCTTCATGGTAAAGTGTGAATTCAAACCTACCCATTCTAAATCAAGGTCAAAATGTAATGCTAATTTCTCTGAGCAATATAAAGACTGAGATGATTTCCTAAGCTTTATTTTTTTCTCAAAATAAGCATAAGGACCTTTAAAACTGGTATTTCTTTAATCATGGAATTCTACAACAGTCAGCATCATTAGCCACAGCATTAGACTCTCTGATTGAGAATTATGGAATACCACTATCAATTCAAGTGACTAGAGAAATCTTTTTGTGAATTAGTAAATGGGCACTGTCTCCCTAATAACATGATTAGTTGAGAAAGTAGCACTTAGAAGGGAGAAATAAAACAATTTAAGAAGGAAACTGACAATCTATAGCACCTGCTAGGAAAGCAAAGATCAGCAATGCATACCGTGTTAAAAGAGTTGGCTTTGCAGTTATATGTTTATATTATAAATTTAAAACTAGTCTTGATCTTGTTTAGAAATCAATTTTTACAAGTTTGATCCCAGTTTAATAGTAATAACTTTCTTCTTACATTCTGGGAATTCTTTTGATGAAAATTGGAAAGCTGTGTTGAATGAACAGGTTTAAATTGATATTAGAAATGACAACTTCTCCTCTACCACACACCAACAATTGATTAAAGTACGCTCTAGCTATGTGGTCATCTTCCAGGAGATTTTAGTGATTGGTTGGTTATATAATGAAGGTACAACACAAATGAATAATTTATGAAAATGTATCATCAAACTTGAGAATGGTTAACTGTGCTGAAAAGAAATCACACATCAATAAGGATTTTCTCTGTGTGTCTCTTTAATAAAATATTTTTGCATAGTTATTTCCAGTGTTCAAAAAACAATGCTCATGCACAGCATAGGCTGTGTTTGTATAGCAAAACACTGATCATTATTCCACTGCTTTAATACTAGAAAGCCTCAAAATACAAATATCAAAACAGCACACAGCACAGTGATATTTAGGAAACAAACATAATTAATGACAAGAAAGCAGCA